TCTTCCCAGACCAGGGCATGAACCCATGTCCCCTGCATCAGCAGGCGGACTCTCAACCACTGCACCACCAGGGAAGCCCTATTTTTAATTTTTTAAGGAACCTCCATACTGTTCTCCATAGTGGCTGCATCAGTTTACATTCCCAACAACAGCGTAGGAGGGTTCCATTTTCTCCACACCCTCTCCAGTATTTATCGTTTGTAGACTTTTTGATGATGGCTGTTCGGAAAGGTGAGGTGATACCTCATTGTGGTTCCGATGTGCATTTCTCTGGTAATTAGTGATGTTGAGCATCTTTTCATCTGTATGTCTTCCTTGGAAAAATGTCTGTTTAGGTCTTTTGGGTGGTTTGGTTTTTTTTGATGCTGAGCTCTGTGAGTTCTTCGTATATATTGGAAATTAATCCCTTGTCAGTCACATTGTTTGCAAATATTTTCTCCTGGTCCATAGGTTGTCTTTTCATTCTGTTTACGGTTTCCTTTGCTGTGCAAAATCTTTTAAATTTAATTAGATCCCATTTGTTTATTTTTGCTTTTATTTCCATTACTCTAGGAGTAATGGAGATGGATTCAAAAACAATATTGCTGTGATTTATGTCAAAGAGTGTTCTGCCTATGTTTTACTCCAGGAGTTGGAGTATCTGGTCTTACATTTAGGTTTTTAATCCATTTTAGTTTATTTTTGTGTGTGGCATTAGAAAATGTGCTACTTTCATGCTTTTACATGTAGCTGTCCAGTTTTCCCAGCACTGCTTATTGAAGAGATTGTCTTTTCTCCATTGAATATTCTTGCCTCCTTTGTCATAGATTAATTGACCGTTAAGTGCATGGGTTTATTTCTGGGCTTTCTATCCTGTTCCACTCATCTATGTGTCCATTTTTGTGCCAGTACCATGCTGTTTTGATGACTGTAGCTTTGTAGTATAGTCTGAAGTCAGGGAGCTTAATTACTCCAGCTCCCTTATTCTTGCTGAAGATTGTTTTGGCTATTTGGGGTTTTTTGTGTTTCCATACAAATTTTAAAATTATTTGTTTTAGTTCTCTGAAACTGCCATTGGTAATTTGATAGCGATTGCATTGAGTCTGTAGATTGCCTTGGGTAGTATGGTTATTTTAACAGTACTGATTTTTTCAATCCAAGAACATGGTATATCTTTCCATCTGTTTATGTTGTCTTCAATTTCTTTTCAGTTTTTGGAGTACAGGTCTTTTGCCCCCTTTGGTAGGTTTATTTGCAGGTGTTTAATTATTTTTGACATGATGGTTAATGGGATTGTTTCCTTAACTTCTCTTTCTGATAGTTTGTTTTTAGCATGTAGAAATACAACCAATTTCTATATACAGTAAGTCCCCTACACATGAACCTTCAAGTTGCGAACTTTCAAAGATGGAAACGTGTCTTCCATCAACGTCAGGCGTGAGTGAAATCACAGCTTGCCTTCTGTCTCCTTGCTGACGATCCTTCAGCTCTGCCATCTCCCACCTCCTCTCCCTCCTCCAGTCAGTAACTCTTCTTGCCTCTTCACTTGATGCCAGCCCTGGTATGCCAGCTGTTGTACTGTACTACTGTACTTTTTAAGGTATTGTACTGTAAGCTTAAAAATGTTTTATCTTTTTGTGTTTTTTATGTATTATTTGTGTGAAAAGTATTATATACCTATTACAGTACAGTACTGCACAGCTGATTATGTTAGTTGGGTACCTAGGCTAACTTTGTTGGACTTACAAACAAGTTGGACTTATAATGTGCTCTCAGAATGGAACTCGTTCATATGTAGGGGACTGACTGTATTAATTTTGAATCCTGCAACTTTACCAAATTCATTGATGAGCTCTACTTGGTTTTTGGTGGCATCTTTAGGATTTTCTATGTATAGTATCATGATCTGCAAACAGTGACAGTTTTACTTCTTCCTTTCCAATTTTGATTCCGTTTATTTCTTTTTCTTCTATGATTGCTGTGCTAAGACTTCCAAAACTGTGTTGAATAAAAGTGCTGAAAGTGCTCATCTTTGCCTTGTTCCTGAACTTAGATGGAATACTTTCAGCTTTTCACCACTGAGCTTGATATTAGCTGTCAGTTTGTCATGTATGGCCTTCACTATGTTGATGTGTGTTTCCTCTATGCCCACTTTCTGGAGCGTTTTTACTGTAAATAGATGTTAAATTTTATCAAAATCTTTTTCTGCTTCTATTGAGATGATCATATGGTTTTTACTCTTCACTTTGTTAATGTGTTATATCACATTGATTGATTTTGTATTTTGAAGAATCCTTGCATCCCTGGGATAAATCCCACTTGATCATGGTGTATGATCATTTTAATGTATTTTTGGATTTTGTTTGCTAGTATTTTGTTGAGTATTTTTGCATCTATGTTCATCAGTGATATTGGCCTGTAATTTTTCTTTTTTGGTATCTTTGTCTGGCTTTGGTATCAGGGTGATGGTGGCCTTATAGAATGAGCTTGGGAGTGTTCCTTCCTCTGCAGTTTTTTAGAATAGTTTCAGAAGGATAGGTGTTAACTTTTTTAAATGTTTGATAGAATTCACCTGTGAAGCCATCTGGTCCTGGACTTTTGTTTGGGGGAAGTTTTTAAATCACTGTTTCAATTTCAGTACTTCTGATTAGTCTGTTCATATTTTCTTTTCTTCCTGGTTCAGCTGTATCTTTCTAAGGACTTCTCCATTTCTTCTAGGTTGTCCATTTTATTGGTATACAGTTGTTTTGTTGTAGTCTCTTATTATCCTTTGTATTTCTGTGGTGTCAGTTACAACTTCTCTTTCATTTCTAACTTTATGGATTTGAGTACTCTTTTTTTTCTTGATGAATCTGGCTAAACTTTTACCAATTTTCTTTATCTTTTCAAAGAAATAACTTTTAGTTTCATTGATCTTTTCAATGGTTTGTTTTTGTTTGTTTATTTCATTTATTTCTGCTCTGATCTTTTGATTTCTTTCCTTCTACTAACTTTGGGTTTTGTTTGTTATTCTTTCTTTCATTGTTTTCGGTGTTAGGTTAGGTTGTTTATTTGGGATTGTTCTTGTTTCCTGAGGTAAGATTGTATGCTGTAAACTTCCCTCTTAGAACTGCTTTTGCTGCGTCCCAAAGGTTTTGGACCATCATGTTTTCGTTGTCATTTGTCTTTAGGTGTTTTTTGATTTCCTCAGTGTTCCATTGGTTTAGTAATATTATTGTTTAGCATCCATGTGTTTGTGTTTTTTACAGTTTATTTCCTGTGGTTGATTTTTAATCACAGAGTGTTGTGGTCAGAAAAGATGCTTGATATGATTTCAGTTTTCTGAAATTGACCAAGGTGTATATTGTGGCCCCAGATGTGATCTATCTTGGAGAATGTTCCATGTGCACTTGAGAAGAAAGTGTATTTTGGTGCTTTCAGATGGAATGTTCTAAAAATACCAATTAAGTCCATCTTTGTGTCATTTAAGGCCTGTGTTTCCGTATTGATTTTCTGTCTGGACGATCTGCCCATGGATGAAAATAGGGTGATAAAGTCCCCCACTGTTATTGTGTTAATGCTGGTTTCTCCTTTTATGTCTGTTAGCATTTGCCTTATATATATATATATTTTTTTTTTTTTTTTTTTTTTTGCGGTACGCGGGCCTCTCACTGTTGTGGCCCCTCCTGTTGTGGAGCACAGGCTCTGGACACGCAGGTCCAGCGGCCACGGCTCACGGGCCTAGCCACTCCGCAGCATGTGGGATCTTCCCGGACCGGGGCACGAACCCGTGTCCCCTGCATCGGCAGGCGGACTCTCA